TTCTTTCTTTCTTTCTTTCTTTCTTTCTTTCTTTCTTTCTTTCTTTCCTTCTTTCTGTTTATTTTTGAGAGAGAGAAAGAGAGAGAAAGACAGAGAATGAGTGGGGGAGGGGCAGAGGGAGAGAGGGAGACACAGAATCTGAAGCAGTCTCCTGCTCCGAGCTGTCAGCACAGAGCCCGACACGGGGCTCCAATCCACAAGCTGTGAGATCATGACCTGAGCCAGCGTCGGATGCTCAACCGACTGAACCACTCAGGTGCTCCAGATTGATCTTTCTAAAATGCCAGTGTGATCAATTGATTCCTCTGTTTAAAATCCTTCCATCGTGGGGAGCCTGGCTGGCTCGGTTGGTAGAGCGTGACTCTTGATCTCAGGGTTGTGAGTTCGAGCCTATGTTGTGTGTGGAGATTACTTTAAAAAAAAAAAAAATCTTTTCTTGGTTTTCCATTTGCTGGCTTAGGGCAAGTCTTGATCCCTCGATCTGCTTACAAGGCCCTGAAAGACCTCTGAGCCTTAGTTGTCTTGTTGGTAAAATGAGCAGAATGCCATTTAGATGAATGTGATAATTAAATGAAAGGATTATATATAAAGTACCTAGCACATACTTGGCACTCATTAAAATGTGAGTGCATGTTTTTTTTTTTTTAAGATTTTATTAAAAAAAATTTTTTTTAGGGGCACCTGGGTGGCTCATCTGGTTGAGTGTCCAACTTCGGCTCAGGTCATGATCTCATGTCTCAAGGCTCTGCTGACAGCTCAGAGCCTGGAGTCTGCTTTGGATTCTGTGTCCCTCTCTCGCTGTCCCCCTCCCTTGCTTATGTGCGCGCGCGCTCTCTCTCTCTCTCTCTCTCTCTCTCTCTCTCAAGAAGAATAAATAAAACATTAAAAAAATTAAAAGAAAAATTTTTAAATGTTTATTTATTTTTGACAGAGAGAAAGGGAGAGAGCGCAAATGCACAAGCGGGGGAGGGGCAGAGAGAGAGGGAGACAGGTTCCAAAGCTGCCCCCACACGGACAGCAGAGAGCCTGATGTGAGGCTTGAAGCCATGAACCACCAGGTCATGACCTGAGCTGAAGTCAGATGCTTAACCAACTGAGCCACCCAGGCCCTCTTAAGATTTCATTTTTAAGTAATTTCTACACATGACGCGGGTCCCGAACTCACAGTCGAGAGATCAAGAGTCACACACTCCACTCACTGAGCCAGCCAGGTGCCCCTGAATGCTCTTATTTTTAATGCATGTTTATTGAATGAATATAACTTGTGGAGGGAGACTGAAGGCATCAGAATAATCTGACTCACAGCTTTCTCTCACCAGGCGTGATATGGGCCTTTTTGGGGTGCTGAATGAAATTGCGAACTCGGAGGAAGAGGGTAAGTGTTTTCCCCTCCAGCCTTCTCTAGTTTTATGGTTGGCATCTCCCCTCCATATTTTTCTTAACCTCTCCCAGCCCATTTCCCTTTAGCCGTGTTTTTCCTTCCGCATTACTGTGCCTATGCCATCTTTTCTCCCCTCTGCCTACCTCACATCCCCCAGAGTGGGTACCCCAAGCATTTGCTGGGTGGAAGGACCTGGGGGATGCTCGTCCTTGCTCATCCTTCATCTTAGGGTACGCATTGAGAGCCCTGTGAATGGTTTAACCAGAGCTGCTTCCTCAACCTCACAGTGTTTGAGTGGGTGAAGACGGCGTCCAGCTGGGCCCTGGCACTCTGTCGATGGGCCTCCTCCCTCCACGGGTCCCTGTTCCCCCACCTGTCCGTAAGTTTGGCTCCCCCCCCAACCCCAACCACTCCAGCCACCGCTCCCTCACTCCTGCCCCCTTCCATTTCCCATCCCTTAAGGTCAGGGTGGGGTGGGAGTCTGCAGAGGGTGCGAGCAGTGCAGCTCCCATTGAGGGGATAAACTCCTTGTGTCCCACCACCCCCTCTATCCGCTTTGTTCTTACAGCTCAAGAGTGAAGATCTGATTGCCGAATTTGCCCAAGTCACAAACTGGTGAGTGTACGAGCTCCAGGGCTTTTGCGGGAAGGAAGTCCGGAACCTTGGAACTTCTCTGAGGGAGAGGGTAGTCAAAGCAGAGACCCCTCCCACTGCTTTCCTGACTGTTACCCACATTCTCCTTCCTCCTACTTCCCGACAAAAGAAATGAAAAGGGAAAAACAATACTGCCCTCCCGGGAAAGGGAATCTGAGCCTCTGGGCTGGGGGACGGGAAGGTGCAGGTTCCCCTTCCTCATGCTCACTCCTGCGCCAGGTCCAGCTGCTGCCTGCGGGTCTTTGCGTGGCACCCCCACACCAACAAGTTTGCGGTGGCCCTGCTTGATGACTCAGTCCGCGTGTATAATGCCAGCAGGTATGTGGTGGGCCCCGACTCTGCAGTCTCCATGTCCATGAGTCATCTCCCTATCCCCGCTAGCCTTGGTTCCAGGGGTCCTGTAGTCCCTGGGCCTGGTCCACAGGACCCCTTCCAGAATCATGTCAGGGAGGCTTTACAGCTAGACACGTCCTATTTCCGGGTCTAATCTTTATCCTAGCCTTCTGTCTCACAAAACCCCTGGGCTCTGTGTGATCAGCTTTCTTCTCTTGGCTTTCCCTCCTCAACTGAACTCCGGTCCCCTGAGCTATAGTGTCCCTGCTCTGACTCAGCTCCTTAATCTTCCCCACAGCACTATAGTCCCCTCCCTGAAGCACCGGCTGCAGCGAAATGTGGCGGCTCTGGCCTGGAAGCCCCTCAGTGCTTCTGTCTTGGCTGTGGCCTGCCAGACCTGCATTCTCATCTGGACCCTGGACCCCACCTCTTTGTCTACCCGGTGAGTCCCAACAGCCTCTGTCTTACCTTGGCCTGAGGGTTGCGGCCAGGCCAGTGGTGGTGGGTGTTGAGGTCTGGAAGAAGTTCTTTGTCTTCACAGTGCTTCGCAGGGCTGTGGGAGAAGCAGACCTAAGGTCAGCGTCAAGGTGCTGAGAATGCCATAATCTAGAGAAAGGGACGGAACTAGGAACTTCAGGAATTGTGGGGAGTGTGTATCCATGGATCGTGGAGTGGAAAGACTTCTTTTTCAGAGGACTGTCTGATGTAGGGTTTAAAGGAAGTGGGGGAGGGAATTAATGTAGACAGAAGTTGAAATCAAGGAAATTTGAAGAAGAGTACCCACGAGAACTAAGGAAATATAAAACCAGAAACTGATTTTTTGAATTGTGAATAAAGAAAGAAAACTTTTTGGCCAGCCTTATCAGGGTAAAAGAAAACATCAAAGTATAGTATTTTCAAAGTGGGAAAGAAGAGATAACAGCAGACATGGAAGAAAATAAAAGAACTGTTAGAGAATATCATATACAAGTTTAGACCAACCAATGAAAATCTAAAGGAAATATTTGATTCTCTAGCAAAATTTAACCAAAGTGGATTGTGCAAGAAATTAAAACGGATGAGTTCTACCACTAAAAAAAAAATGCCAGGCTACGGGGCTCCTGGGTGGCTCAGTCCGTTGAGTGTCTGACTTTGGCTTAGGTCATGATCTCCTGGTTAGTGGGTTTGAGCACCACGTTGGGCTCTGTGCTGACAGCCTGGAGCCTGCTTCAGATCTGTGTCTCCCTCTCTCTGCCCCTTCCCTCGCTCATGCTCTGTCTCTCTGTCTCTCTCTCTCTCAAAAATAAATCAACGTTAAAAAAAAATGCCAGGCAATTTTGCCAATGAGATGGCATTATGAGAGTTCTGTGATAATCTGGATGTTGTTTGTTTATTTTTAAAGTAGGCTCCATGCCCAACATAGGGCTTGAACTTTGAGATTGGGGCGTGACCGTGAGATTGAGTCTCATGCTCTACTGACCAAGCCAGCCAGGCACCTTTCCATATTTTTTGAATTAGATCAGATCATCGAAAAATTTGGAAAGCCTCCTGATTTTTTTCCCTTTTAATAAACTTTATTTTGGTATAATTTTAGATGTTTAGAAAAGTTGCAGATAGTACAGAGTCATGGTACACCGGTCACCCAGTTTCCCCCATTGCTAACATCTTACGTTACCATGTTACCTTTGTCAAAACTAAGAAACTGATGTTTGTACATGACTAGCTAAGCTCTGACTTTCTTCAGATTTTACCAGTTTTTCCATTGATGTCCTCTTTCTATCCCAGAATTCATCCTGATTTATTTTTATGAAGCTAAATCCTAAAACTTAAACCTGACAATAAGTAGTATAAGAAAGATATTTGAGCATAGATTCAAAAATCCTAAATAGGGCTGCCTGGGTGGCTTAGTCAGCTGTGTCTGACTTTGGCTCAGGTCATAATCTCCCAGTTCGTGAGGTCGAGCCCCACTTTGCTGAAAGCTCAGAGCCTGGCGTCTGCTTCAGATTCTGTGTCTCCCTCTCTCTCTCTGCCCCTCCCCTGCTCACACTCTCTTTTTCTCAAAAATGAATAAACATTTAAGAAAAATATTAAAAATCCTAAAGGAAATATTAGCAAATAGAGTCCAAAAGCATATTTATTTATGTATTTTTTAAGTTTATTAATTTATTTTGAGAGAGTGTGTGCACATGAGTGGGAGAGGGGCGGGGGGGGGGGGGGGCGGGTGGGGAGAGGCCCCAGCAGACTCCACCCTGCCAGAGCAGAGCCTGATGTGGGGCTCGAACTCACCAACCGCAAGATGATGACCTGAGCCAAGACCAAGAGTCAAGTGCTTAATCAACTGAGCCACCCAGGTGCCCCCAAAAGCATATTAAAAAAAATCTTAACCATGTAGAATTTTTCAGAAATTAAAGACTATTCATCGTTAGGAAATCTATTAATATGATTTATTGCACTAGCAAGTTAAAGGAGAAAAATATTTATGTCCATAAATGCTCTTCTTAAAAAGCAGACATTCCAGGTGAAAACAGAAAGTAAAATAGGAATACAAAGAGATGACCTAACATAAAAATTTACTTAGGAGGGAAAAAAAAAAGTATTTACTCAGAATCAGTAGCTCTCGTGTTAGACAGTGAAATAGGAAATATTAAAGGTATTTTCTCCAGTAATGTCAAGATAAAGACAGTTACCATTATCACTGTTATTTTTCTTCTCTTTTTTATTTTTTTAAAGATTTTATTTTTTGGAGGTGCCTGGGTGGCTCAGTTGGTTAAGTGTGTGACGCTTGATTTCGGCTCAGGTCATGATCTTGCAGTTTGTGGATTCAAGCCCTGTGTTGGGCTCTTCACTGACAGCACTGAACCTGCTTGGGATTCTCTCTCTCCCTCTCTCTCAAAATAAAGAAACATTAAAAAAAAAAAAAAAAAAACAACAACAAACATTAAAAAAGATTTAATTCTTTGAAGTAATCTCTGCACCCAAACTGGGACTCAAACTCACAACCTAAAGATCAAGAATCGCACATTCTACCAACTGAGCCAGCCACGCGCCCCTCATTGTCACCATTGTTAACATTATTTTTGGAGATTCTAGTGCGTGCATTAAAACAAAAAAAAATGTGATGTCTTGAAAACGAAGGGAAAATTATTATTCTTTGAAGGTAGGATTTCATACCTAGATAAAACAAGAGACTCAACTAAAAAAACTGTTTGATCTAATACACCTAAATGTAGTAAGGTGACTGGATCCAAGAAACCAAAAACTTAATAGTTTTCTTTTATACCTATAAAAATTATTGAGAAATTGAAGGAGAAAAAATATGCTATTTACAGTACATACACTTACTGAATCGCTAAGAATAAATTATTAAATGTATTTAATCTACTAGACATCTGAAGAAAGTTGTGGAAGAAACTTGAACTAGAGCTGACTAAATGGGGAGACATACTATATGCCCAGAGAGGAAAGTGTAATCACAAAAATACCAAATTAAGTGGACTTGCAACCAGAATTCTTCTGGCTTTTGTTTTTCTGAACTGGGCAAAATGATAGAGTTTTTATTAAAGAATAAATCTGGAAGAATCGCCAAGAAAAGTTTGCAAAGAAAGAATATTGAGGGGAGACTTGCCCTACCCAGTATTAAAATATTTTATGAAGTTACAGTAATGGAAAGTTACCACTGTCTGGATAAACAAACCAGATCAGTATAACTGAATAACGGAACAGATCTAAGAATATATGAAAATTGAATATATGATAAATTTGGCTTATTATTACAATAAAGAAGTTTAGTGTGTGTGTGTGTGTGTGTGTGTGTGTGTGTGTGTGTGTGTGTGTGTGT